CCCCCCTAACCAGAAATCAATTATAAACCCTATGGGAAACAAAATAAAGCCGCGAAAACTGGACTACCAGGTCCTCCAGGCTAAACATAAACACAAAAATATGGCCTACAGCTCAAAATGGCAAAGAGGTATTCTAAGGACAGTGTCTCCAGGCGTTAGGATAGGCGAGACATCCTTCTCCTCCAGCTTCTCCTTATATATACAAGGCTGAGTGGAATTTGGAACACCTGGGCAGAGGCGGAGCCTGGGGCAGACCAGGTGCACCTGGGCAGAGGCGGAGCCAGGGAGACAGAAAACAAGGAGGGGAGCACTTAACACAGAAGAGGTTTCTCAATACTCAAATTTCCCCTCCTCGACTCCTCGGTCCTCCGGTAGTGACCCGGAAATGAATTTCAGCAAGCCATTTTGAAGGACATCTCATTTCTCTGAATGCACTTCGAGGACCGAGCATCGAGCATCGAGGAGGTTCTCTGGAGGAGCTCTAACCGAGGAGACACTGATGCATCCTGCACGGCTCCTCCACGGATGTATTTCCGGGAACAGTGGNGTCACCGGTTTCCCACTGTTAAGTACAGGTAACTACGTAAACGTGACTTGTACCTGAGTACTCTGGCGGTCACCACTTCTCTCGACCGGAAGAACAGGACCAACCCTGTTTTCTGTTCTAGTGACATTCATTATATTTCATCTTCGAATTGTTATTCCGTTTGGAGAACTAACGAAGCAATGAATGGAACTTCTAAGGGACCGATCGCGAAGAGGTTTGCACTTCCCGTTTCGATCACACTCGCTGGACCAGGTAGGTCGGGAAGTACTACCGTCCTTTCACTGGGTCATGTACCCCTGACTCTCATCCCGAATTCCAATCAAGATCGTCTCCCGTTTTTTTTTTTTTTTTTTTTTTTTTACCGAATTTTCTATTGTGTAAAAAGTAAGACCGAGATGACTTTTTACTAGGCTCCAGTCGGAGCACTCAAACGCAACAAGAAGTCACAAGTCGTAATCGAAAGGACGAGGTAACGGTCAAACCAGAGGAGAGCATTGTCTTCACTAGCGAAGAATGGAAGAGACGTCCCCTTTCATGTAAAAACAACGCTCAGACTTGGTTCGATGAAAAAAAGGTCACTCCATAATGGTCACACAGGAGTCTGACACGTCACCCGGAATTAAGTACCGTATGTCCAGCCTATGAAATACACGTCGGGGAACGTCAATTGAAGGTTGCGTAGCAGAAACCGACGTCTCAACGTTGCTCGGTCTCGAGACCACACGATGTGTTAGTTGTGACCCAGAGTCCTTAAGTACAAGTCCACGTTTACCTGTGTAGTCACGTCTTGTACTGACACTGAGAACCGTTGACGTCGTAAAATAACCTACTTGCTATAGTGAGTTCGGAAAGGTCTCCTTTAGTAACATGGGCATACGTAGTTGTGGGAAGAAGGGAAACGTCGTACCGTAGACATTGTGACGACACCGAAGGTCCAAACCGAGACACACAACACCTTCTAACCGAGTACCGACCGTTATGACGACTCGTCGCGACGAAATATAGGTGTGTGAGTTTGGTGAACGGAGACCGAGAAACCCGAGTGTCCCACGAAGTATAGTACGGTAGTTACAGTGACGGTATCGACCAGGTAATGGTCCTGGTATGGTCTACCGACATCAGACTTAGTCACTTACGTCGACAACACAACAAGGTTACTACTATTATTTGACCAATTATACCAGACGTAAGAGACAACTATGAACCTTTCACTGAAAACATCAAGATTATCGAGCCACAACATATGATAAAATAGGTCACGTCAATCGGTGAACATTCCAAAGTCGTAACGTTGTAGAATAGAGCAAATACACACCAACTGAGTAAGTCGAAATACGGTTACGTGTCTTCCTACCTAACGCATACCAATAAGCAACATAGAGACAAGAATACGGATGGACAATCATACACTGTCTTTGCAGGGTACGTCTAGCATATCTTTCTAGACTGACTACGATTGAACCTCGATCAACTGATCACACCACTACAAAGAGCATTACACCGTCTCCAGATGTTCCCGTAATAATTTGAGTACTGTCATAAAACCATTTGACAGCAAAACTGTTGATTAGGAGTTGCAACCGTTGCATCAAAACCACTTCCCTCCAATCTAGGTTATTTGCGTCCCAATTGGTCTTTAATTCACAAACTGTTACTTCCCAAGTTATAATGAAAACAGTTCTGAGGGACTGGTGGTCTTCAATGAACACCTTGTAGTCACTTAGTCAGGTTGAACCGAGGTTCAAATCGTTAGGCACTTCTAGACAAGAGGATATCCTCAAACTACCTGCAACACAGTGTTATGATTGTAACCACTCCGGATTTTCTTTTAACGTATGTTTGGCAACGGTATCGTTGTAGGAGACACGTAACGGTAATTTACGGAATTTCCTTACTCAGTTTGCTGTCACAAATATTTATTTACCAGTTACGACTTTCATGTTCAGAAATGAAATGACCGAGATAATAGCATATTGGGGGCGATAAACTTGAAGTTTGTCAAAGGTTCTAAGTTGCTTAAGTCGTAATACATGGTCGAAAATAAATAGTAGTAACTTGTTTGTTTGTCAGTAAGGGTGAGAAGTCCTGAGGGTCGAAAGAGACCAACAACCCAACCGTCCCGGAACGGGTCCACCTAGGGTGTGCCAGTCAGGTTTGAGGAACCGCCCTACCAAGAGTACCTGGAGGCCAAGTCGACCATTGGAGAGGGGTAGTTTCGTCAGGTGCCCTCACTTTCGTTCACCCAAAAGATGGTCCTCCGAACGTACGCGCACGCGGTCGGGAGGTCGTACCCCATGGCGCACGGAGTCCCCTTGCACTCTTCCCCGGTCTTCTAGAACTCCCGGTCTTGGACCTTCGGTGTCATCACGTCCTACGGTAAGCTCCTCCTTCCTTTGTTTTATTCCCACAACTACGTATGTTATTATTCAAAAGAGACCTTGTCGAAATACTATAGCAAGTAGGTTTATTTTATTGGACGTCACCGGTTTCTCACTGTAAGTACAGGAGGTAACTACCCGGTAAACTGACTTGTACCCTGAGGACTCTGGGTCCACCACTTCCTCTCGTACCCGGAAGAACAGGACACCTTGTTTTCGTCTAGAGACGATTCATTATATTTTCTCATATCGAATTGTTATTCCGTTTGAGAACTAAACGAAGCAATGGAACTTCTAAGGGACCGACAATCGCGAAGAGCACCACAACTTCGTTCCGGTCACACTCGTGGCCAGGAGGGTCGGGAAGTACTACCGTCCTTGCTCACTTGGTCATGTACCCCTTGACTCTTCATCCCGAATCCAATCAAAAAAGTAGGTACGTCTCCGTACCGAATTTTCTTATTGTGTAAGTAAGGCCGAGATGGACTTTTTACTGCTCCAGTCGGAGTCACTCAAACGCAACCAAGAAAGTCACTATAGTCGTCATTCGAAAGGACGGAGGTACGTCAAACCAGAAGGAGAGCATTGTCTTCACTAGACGTTAAGAATTGAGAGACGATCTCTTTTATTTACAAACAACGCTCAGACTTGTGGTTCGGATTTGATAAAATAAAGTCACTGCTGAAATGGTCACTACAGGAGTCGACATCGTCACCGGAATTTGGAAGTACCAGTATGCGTCCAGTCTTATGAAGATGAGCACGTCGGCGAACATGTTCAAGATTTTGAAGGTGGCCGTAGCAGAAAACCGACGTGCTCAACTTGCTCGGTCTCGGGACCACACCGTATCGTGTTAGTTCGTGAAAGAACCTAGATTTTTGATTCTAAGTTTATCTTGTGGTAGTCTCCCGTCTTTGTATGGATGATCTCTAAGTTGTAGAGTAAACTTGTACCTAATAATGTCGAGTTCGGTAATCTTTTATTCGTTTCTTGGGTTTCCCTTTTTGTAATGGGTAAAACTTCGTCCTTTAAAACTTTAACGACCTAAAATCGTTATCTGACACACAACTACCTTGTTTTCTCACCAGTACCGACCTCGTTTGGACTTCTTCGACCGAAAATATCCGGAGGTCGTGGTGGAGTTAGTCGTGTCCCCGGAAGACCGAGTAAAAGAGTGTCCACCGACAGTTAGTCGTTAGTTACAGTGACTGTTGAGTCGACCGGTTGTTCGGTCACTGAGTAGTTAGATCATAAGATTTATCGTACATAAATGACTTAAAACCCCGTCGTAAAGTATACCCCTCTCCGTTGAAGAGATGTATTGTCGGTCCATAGTGACAGATCGTAAAAATAGGTCCGACCCGGTTCTAATCGGTCGAACTGTTTTTGCATATGTGAATGTTGTTGTCAAAAGAGTAAGTTACACACGAAAAAGGGTAAGAATCCCGGGTTGGGTCTTTCTCTACGTCGCATCCAAAAGAAATAGAGGGCAAATACCGCCAGAAAATATCGTCTCCGGCGAGACGTTCTACGACTCTTAGTCTGCTCCTATGATAAGATTCTCCTACCTGTGTTTACACGTCTCGATGTTTCGTAATATAGCGTTTATACGTATAAAACTTTCAATGATTCCGTTCGGATTTGGATGAATGATTATCATAAAGCTGTTCCAGAGGAAACTTATTTATTGTATGCATCAACACCCTTTATTTTGTTTTCCTTCCCCTCCAGAATGGCATCCTGCACTACTGTGGCTTCCAGGTTCTGGCTCCTCAGATCTTCTGGGCCCCGTCTCACGTTCCCTCTGAGGCACGCGGTACCATGCTGGAGGGCTGGCGCACGCGCATGCAAGGCCTCCTGGGAGAAAACCCACTTGCTTTCACTCCCTTGGACTGCTTTGATGGGGAGAAGGGTTACCAGCTGAAGCCTGAGGTCCATGAGAAACATGCCGCCAAGGAGTTTGGACTGACCGTGGGGATCCACCTGGGCAAGGCCCTGCCACCCAACAACCAGATGAAAGCTGGAGTCTGAAGAGTGAATGACTGTTGTTTGTTTCAATGATGATAAATAAAAGCTGGTTAATATGTTCTGAATTTCTGTTGAATACTTGGAAACTGTTTTGTAGTTCAAATGGCTGGGGTTTATACAATAATTAGAGCCAGTAAAGAACTTCTTGTACTTTTCAGCATTGTACATTTATTTATATAACACTTTCATTTGACTCATTCAGCTTTAATGGCAATGCACACAAATCTTGCTATGGCAACTGGTTGTGTGCAATTTTCTTTAGGCCTACCAATGTTAAGTATTGTGACACAACGTCCATCAAACTCCTATAGGGAAAGATTTCACTGATTGCTAAACTTAGAGCCAAGTTGACTATTCACTGAAGTTTCTCAAGTTAACTTCTGTGGTCAGGACCCCAAACTAAATTAATCTGTAACCCTTCTTTTAAAACACTTAACACATGCTCTCCTTCACCACTGGGTCTCAGGAGTGCATGTTTAGTGCAAATGGCATCAATGGAGACATGGATGTCACTCTTTGGCCACTGCAGGTATTTTATTGGGATGAATGATTATCATAAAGCTGTTCCAGAGGGAACATTGTTTTAGAGACTGCATCAACACTCATTTTATTTCCCTGTTTCCTCCAGAGTGGCATCCTGCACTACTGTGGCTTCCAGGTCCTGGCTCCTCAGATCTTCTGGGCCCCGTCTCACGTTCCCTCTGAGGCACGTGGTACCATGCTGGAGGGCTGGCGCACACGCATGCAAGGCCTCCTGGGAGAAAACCCACTTGCTTTCACTCCCTTGGACTGCTTGAACGACATGATGTCAATCAAGCTCCTGTTGCGAAAGATTTTACTGATTGACGTTTACTAAACTTAGATCACAGTTAACTATTCACTGAAGTTTCCTAACGTTGAGCCTTTCAAGCTAAATAAGTTCTGTGGTCATGACCCTTGACAAAATGAATCAGTAACCCCTTTATTTAAACACTGTCCAACCTGTGATTTTGATCTAATTCTCCCTTCGACAAACTACTTTTATGCTTTGATCTTAGTTGCCTACAACTTTCAAAATATGCGTCTACGTATAATGCCTTTGTAGCTCTGCACATTTTTGTCCCATCTCTAGAATAGTATTCTCATTCTGATCCTTCAGATCTGCCTGGCCTCATGGGAGAAACGCCCCGCTCCTTCCCTCTTTATGGGGAGAATCGTTTCCAGCTGAAACTCATTTGAATCCTGCTGAACAAAGAATTTGCTCTGATAGTGGGAACTTGCACCTGAGGAAACCATTCATGCCCCACAGATCAAAGCTGGAGGGTTGTGATGAGCGGTATTCTTTGTGGATCTGCAACAGGGATGCAACTTTTTTTTTCTTGCTGAGTCTTGGGGAAGTTTTGACTTAAATGTTTGGGTGGGCTGAATTGTGTGCAGTGTTTTGGAATTGTTTTGAACAAATCAATCGTCTTGCATGCTGTCTGGTTGAGGCTGAAGTGCTCTACCGTATATACAGACATGCTGACGACCAAAGAAACTGCTTGCAAGCAGGTCTGGGCTCCACACAGACGCTTTTCCCAGAGAAGCAGCTTTTGTTTGGGTATGGAGGAAATGAGATGGGGGAGGGGCAGGGGGGCAACACTTGAGGAAATGGCCTTGCACTCTGATGTCCAGAGCACAGCTTGTGACATATACGAACTCAACGGTGTGCATATTTCACAGCTGAGGTTTCCCAAGGTCAATGGGTGTTTGTTTGTGTGCAGTCAGGTCCAGTTTCATAATCACCTGTCTCTTCAGCCGGAACAATGTTAGTTAATTTCCTTATTTGTTTCTCACAAAACAAAAGACACTTTGAAATACTTATCCACACATGTACTAGTTTTATTTGCTGTATGGTATTATGTTAAGACTTCTCAGCTAAACACTCACTTCCCACATAAAAAGGAGTCTTAGATGACAGAGCATTTAAGTAATGTCATGGGTTGAGTGTTTAAAATGTGTGAATCATTATGCAATTAACTTAATCTGTAAAATCAAGATACTCTGCATCAGTATGTCTCGACAGAAACATGGACAAATCCAAACATTTTCAGTCTCAAGCTTTTGGAGTTTTTTTCCATATGCATCATTGTCCGAGACAGAGAACCAAAAAGCTGGTGTTGGAATTGCTGGAGTTGGGGGCATTGAGTGTTTGTGTATGTAAGGGTTATACCACAGTCTCTGTGTCCATCCTGCTTTTCCATTGTCTGTCCCAGTTCTCCCACACTGACTGCAGAGAAGGCCATTTTTGGCTGGTTCAATGGGAGGAAGTGGGCACCGTTTTGTACCAGATACGGAAGAGAGTCGCCGGAAATGTGCTTCTTGACTGGAAGCTCAAATACACACAATCATTCAGATAAAAAAAAAAAAGCAATGTAATGTTCAGAAGAAGGTTAAGTGAACCTGGAGATTTATATTAGCACTGACCTTTAGCTTGTCTGAGTGCAAAGACTGGAAATGTGGATACAACTAGCCTGCTCTAACAAAATCAAATTAATGGTTACCGTACAGATATAGAGTGGTATTGATTTTCTCATCCAAGCATCAATCTTTTCAACTTAATGTGAAAGTATTCCTAAAAGTCTTTTAAAATGTTCATGTGAAAAAGTATATTCTTAAAGATAGGATCGGTTAAGACTGATGCTGAGCCAGATGTGATTCATTGCTCTGAGTTGACTTTAGGGTGGTTTGATTAGGCCGTAAAAGGGTCTCTGTGTTTGCACCAGATGTCATAAGGTTAACTACAGGCCTGCCATTAAACACAATGACCCAAAACAGAGAGCAGAAAAAGAGAGGGAGAGAAAGCAAATTATTGTTCCCAACCATCCTCCCACTCTTTCAGAGGCTACATTAAAATCCAATTAATTATGCCACCACGAAAACCACAGCTTGTTGAACTTTGCCTGAGTGAGGGTGTGAGAGAGTGAGTCCATGTGTGCATATACGTAATGAGAGTGAGGCACAGTTCAAGGCAGTTGAATTAAGATTGGCAGCAGGAAAGGTTTGTAATGAAGAACTACACTATCGTTTCCCTTTTGAAGCTCTAACTGCCCCCTTTACCTTCGTACCACAGAGCGTCCATTGTACGTTCCCCATCATTTTGAAACGGAGGAATTCACTCTGACATCTGAGCAAAATCCCCCCCCAAATGAAACCAACACATCACCTCCTAAATCAACGTATTCTTGCAGCAAATAAATATGTTTCCACAGTCTGTGTTAAAGACAAAACTCTTTCCCTGACATTTTCTAAATAGTTTTACTTCAGGGAGTAACTTGCGTACCATTAGAACAACTGTTTCAGGTATTTTTATGGTTGTGTTTTTTCTCATAAATTCAGAATTTTAAACATTATCTTGAAAAATGTGCACAAAGATACATTTCTCAGGGCCCCTTTGTGATCACAACCTGAACAGCTGGTCGGATTAAATGATAAGAAACGGTGGACTAAAACAGCTGTGGAGGAACACAATCACAAATAGAGCCCACACTTTATACAAAGTCCCAAAATGGAAATAAAAACATGGGTAAAAAAATAATAACAATCACTGCCTCCTTCCTCTTTTCATGAACCCCAGCAGGATGTGTCTTTCATGCTTTGCTCTTTTCATCCCCACCTCCATCCTTCTTTTGTGTTAGTCTTCTCCTCTCACCAGTGTGAAAATGCACCGGAAACTTTTACCACAATGGGACGTTTCACACATCTTTAGCTCATTAGGGATTTGAACGCTCACTGGAGGCACAGTTCACTGGGGAAACTGACTTCTACCACATATAAGCAAACACTTTCAAAAGTCATGATCCTGACATGCACTTCACTCAGTTCCCCTGGCAGTGATAGGGCCCAGGCCAGCCTGCACCGTGCAACTTTGAAACACTTACACGCATGGGCGCGGGAAGGGGGGTGCTGAGGGCGCTGCAGCACCCCCTAGCGGCAGGCAGGGGGTGCGTAGCTCCCCTGTCTGAATTATTATTTGACGGTTATTGCTGCTCCCGCTGTGCATAATCTGTGTAATATGTAGCCAATAAATTCCACATTGTTGGTCAAATAATATTTTGGCCTGCCCCGAATGTTTTTTCTGTAGCCCCGGACAATTCTACCTCAATAATATAATACATTAACCGTGCTTTACGTGAACCTCATCAAGACACTAGAAAGGACGGCAGGACTGTAATTTCCCGTGTTTAGTGAATGCAACAGAGGCAAGACAGCAGACCAATCAGAGAGTTGCATGGAAATAAAAGTGTGCTTGTTTCAAGCTCGCGGCTCTGTGTGTGTGCGGAAATAGCGCATTTAGTGTGTGTGAGAGAGGGGGAGAGAGAGGGACCGGTGCCAGCAGCAGGGACCGTGTTGTTAGCATCTGGTTAGCTAGCTGCACTAACGGACATACGGAGCTGTTTGTTCCTCAACAAGCTGGAGGAGAGCTCTCCTCTCAGACTGAGAGGCTCAGGTGAGCTAAAGGACTCTCTGAGTGTTTAGATAGTTAACTTTAGTCTAAGTTATCTCAGTGGGTCTCAAACGGTTTGGTCAAAAATTATTCAAAAGATTATTTCCGCGGCACACCTTCATATGATCATTATAGTTATAAAAAAAATAAGAGAATAAAGGAAATACATTTATGAAATACTATATGGCAGTAAAACAAGAATACAGTTTGAAAGGGGAGTGATTTGTAAAATATCCATAAAGAAAAAGAACATCTGCTTACAGTTGTGTTTCATCTGGGTGTTGAGAGATGTATCCATAGATCTCTTAATGTTGCTCTCAAAGTGCACCAGATTGATGCTTTTAACTTCAATATTTAAAAAAAATCTTCCCGGGGGAGCATCCCCCCGGACCCCCCTAGAGGAGGTGAGGTCCGCTCCCCACTCGTAAAAAAATAGCACTTTACCCCTGCCTATATGCCGTGAGCTGATTATCGAGCCTTCATTGTAACAGTCGCGGGTTTACTGTGTGTTTGCGTGTGGGGAGTTTTTTTGTGCGTGCTCTATAGTGCCCGTAATAGTGTTCACTGGAGTCCAGCACCTCAGCACCCCCACTCAAAATACCTTCCCGCGCCTCTGCCTCTGTGGCGCAATACTATGGTGGCCGAAAAGTGTTTTACTTCTATGGTCGGCTACAACCGCAAGAATAAAATGCGCAGAAAATGTCATAGCATTCCGGAAGTCGTTTGGAAGAAGATGGCTGCAAGCAGTACCGGCATAGGACCAGAAGAGAACTGGCAGAGCCTGCGAGCTGCTATGCATGACGCGGCTACCGAATCTCTTGGCACGAAAAGGCCGCCGCAGAAGACTGGATGGCCGAAAATGCTGTAGTCCTGGAACCGCTGTTCCGCTGCCAAGAACAAGCGCACTAAGTGTACAAGCAACGGGAACACGGGAGTTCTCTCAGCGGCCACTCAAGGATGCGCGCGTGAACTTCAGAGGAAGGCTCGATCCTGTGCTAACCAGGTACTTGGAACAGCTCTGCCGATGACATCCAACAGGGTTTAGACACTGGTACCTGCTGGAACTGTACAGGGGCCTGAACAAGGCTATTGGGCCGAGAGCAAAGAAGGTTTGTCCGCTGAAGTCTGCAGAAGGAGCACTGTTGCCACGATGGGTTGAGCACGTACTCAGAGCTCTATGGCAAACTAGGAGTTTCCAGCACGTTGGGTTTGGCGCCTCAAACACCCAGCTTGACATCATGCTGAGTTGGAATTGCCAACCATGGCAGACTGGGTGAACGCGCTGAAGCAAAGCTGCGGGCACGACGGTTCCCGTGCTGATCTCCTCAGATGTGACAGCGTTACTGTCGAACCATGGCACAAGCTGCTTCTGGTCAAGCTGGCAAAGCGGA